GCAGAGCGGCCGTGCCGAGCCCCCTCGGGAGCTGCTCTTGCAGCAGAGGCCCGTCCGCCAGCCCGGCCCTGCGGCTGGGGGGTCCGAGGCTGAGCCGTTGCTGGAGGAGCGGAGCGCGCTCACCGGGCTCGGGGGCGCGCAGGTGTAGGGGAAGTTCTGCACCGCTCCCGCCGCCTCCTCTCTCTTCCTCTGCGATTTACCGCCTCTCCCAAGGTAACACTTCAGTATCCAGCAGTGCACACAAGGAATCAAGAAGGATCTCTTTGCATTCCTTTCTCTTCCTCGAATTAACACTTACCTTCTGTCCATCTGCTACATTATTCACATTTCACTATGGACAGCGAGCTCTTCTCCCTCTTATATGTGAGGGGAAGCATATGTAGCTCTACAGGAAAGGTGGAGTAAACTTTTTCCTATTTTCTGCAACAGCACATTGATCATTCAGAATAAAAGACCATAATAGGCTATCGGAATGGCTTACCGTCACTTGATCAGATGTGGGAGATGAATACAGTACGTGACAAAACATCCCCTATAAATACTCCCCTTGTAAGCACTTCAAAACCAAAAAGGAGGAAAAAACTACATGGTCATCCAGAAAACATGCCTGAAGGCAGGAAGGAAGAGAGTGGGAGCTAGAGCTGCACACAAACCTGCCGATTCACACAGCTGCTCTTTTTGTGAAATCTTGGATGCAGGCCAATATTTTCACTCTGTCCCTGCCACCTTTATATTTTGCCTGGGTTTGACCTGTTGGTGCAGCTCTCCTGGACCTGGAAGAAAAGTTCAGAAACACACCTCTGAAAGAAAAGAGCTGTAAGGAGGATGCCACGCTGCTCCCTCTGCTCCTGGTGTTAACGCACACAGAAAGGTGCAACTGGCAAACTCTTACTAAAACGACCTCTCACCGGGGGCTGGTTCACATTCTTGGGTTCAACCAGTTAAAGTTTTTAAATATTCAGAGGTACTTTTTAATTTCTATGATTTTATACGTTGTTACCTTAATTCTCATTCACACATATTTCTCTTTATAACTGCATCAAGCCGTAATAAAAAACACTGTGCTGCTCTTTTGGGGCCTCACATACACTAATGTGACTGTGCTTGGTTTTTTGTTTATTGTGGAATCACAGAAATCAGCATTTACATACTATCTTATATGTCCAAAGCATTGCACATAATTAACTAATGCCTTTTACACTGGATTTGCCATACTGCATCAGACCACTGATCTAATCCAATACCCTGTTTCCAGTATTAGCCAACAGCCAATGCTTCAGAGGAAGTAAATGGCACCAACTGCCCCCCAGACAGGTACTTCCCTCTTCACAGCCCAGTGCCTGTGACCTGCTGGTTCTGTTCTTTTGGGGCTCCAGCTTATGAACAGGGAGGTGAAATATTTTCCCTTTATTACATGTATCAGTAAAGGAAGATCAGTAGGTGCAACCACCAGAGTGCCTCCTCCCCCAGGTGAAAAGCTTACCATCTCAACCCAGGTATTTTGGCACAATTTTCCTGATGTTCAGAGGATTTCAGGTTGCTTTAATAGAAATAATTATTTGAAACATTTCATTTTGGGTAGCAAAAATTTTAAAGCATGAAAGCTGGCAAACTTCACTGAAAGTTCAAAGCACACTTACTTTGTGCAGCCCCATCTGATTAAACAATTTCTCATCCAGTGGTCAGGGATGTTGCTTTTATTCCACAGGAGTATTACTACCACACGAATCTTATGCTCCTAACTGGCAGAGACGCCGATGGACATTTGGTCAGGCTGAAACTCTCTGGTAGGGGGCCAGGGGAAGAGGGCAGCCCATACATGGGGGCAGTGGGGCACCCCACACCGCGTTTTGCCCCGGTCCCTTTCGCAAACCTGTGGCAGTGGGGTGGTGGGGGAGGCGAGGCTGGAGAAGCCCCGTTTTATAGCGATACAAAGCACCTCTCCTAGTGCAGCAAATGCATGCTGTTCTGCAAACCTTGACAGACCCCGACAGGGACAGCTGCTGCCCTCCAGATCCAGACTTAACACTGGATTATTCAGATAAAAGAAACATCATTTGAATGCAGCCATGAAGTTCTTATCCTCTCCTTCAAACTGCTGAAAGCCTTTCACATCCTCATGAAAACAAATGGTACCTTTCACTCTCACACACACACCTGCCCATCCCTTCCATGCCATGATGGACTTCACAGGTTACGTGTCTGTCCGGGCACCACATACCTAACATGACCCCAATTTCAAGTTAATCTCACTTCTGAGAGAGAAACCACAGATAAAATATGATTCCTGATGGTAGTGCTCAGCTGGAAAAAGTCTCACGACAGTCTAAGCACTATCAGAGGAGAAAAAATAGCCTAAGAGACAGCGTTACCTCAGGCTGTGACACAACCCATCCTGGCCCGTGGGCCCCGGTAACGTTACCATCCTGTGTGATGACCTCCTCTCCAGCTCTGTGTGCTCCTGCAGACAAGGAGGGAGTGCTGTACCTGCTCTGTACCGTTTGCTCCCTCCTCCACAGAGCTGGCCAGCCAGCAAGCCGAGAGACTCAGACAGCTTCACTCCAAGAACAAGCTGCTACAGACATCCTTCAGCACCCAGCTCAGTCACCAAAGATGTTTTGGCTTCAGCAAGCTCCCTCCCTTTTCCCCTTAGTGAGCCAGCTCTGAAACTCTTACTATTAAGATGAAGGAGAGCTACTCACCTTTGGCTGCTTCCATCAACCCCCCCATGTCCAGATTCCGGAGGGAAAGCAGGTAGCTGGCATCACACCAGAAGTGCCTTTTGTTCCGCGGAGACGGCAGCATGCCAGGCATGATTCTAGCAAATGGCATCTCTCACTTGGGCATACACAACAGCCACACATGCTCTTCCTTTGCCTTCTTGTCGATAACACCTACGTGACCTATTCATTGGCAACTTCTTTGAAGTGGGATTTGTGCAGCAGTAAATCAGTGTTTAAATGCTCCTGAAACCCCTACAGCCCACTAGCCTCCTGTACAGTTCAACCTGCCTGTTTTGCTTTGTCTTCTGCCAATTCCTTCTGCACACATCTCCTGTTCTGCCAGCCCTCAGTTATACTTCCAGGATCATACGCTGGAACCCACGCACATTTTTCATGTTTAGCAGGGCATTACTCATCTATTAATATTCAGAATAGATGTAAATAGAGAAGCTCATCTCCAAAAACTACTGAAGCAACATGGGGAAAACAACAGTAAACCAGAAATCTTGGCACACCAGCCACCTTCTTACCTTGCTGGGGCACTCCAGAGGCAGAGAGAATGATGCTGAGCCCCTCATCAGTAAATCCCTTTAGCCCTCCCTCTGTGCAGTTCATAGGCTGCTGCTGAAGGACAGGTGAGGCTAAACAAGGCTACAAGCATCATCCCTGCCATGACATTTCCCTTCTTGGAGTACCGCCAATATTCACTGCGCTGAGATGATTTTCCTTTCTGTGACTTGAAATGCAGCACGCAGTTGTGGAGCAGCCACTGGGACTGTCACGCTGTCATGGGAGCCAGAAGACCCAGCTCACAGCCTAGAGCTTATATGGATTTGGGGCTTGAAGCTGTACATTTGTTCTGTACATATAGGCCCATACCAAAGAAGCTCTGAAAAAAAAAAAAATCTCCTGGAAACTACCCAGAGCTTTTCTCTCTGAGGGAAACAAACGAGGCCTTAATTAATTTTCTTTCAAATACAGCAAATTGACTTCTGCTCCAATTGTGCTAGATTCAAGCCACACAGCACAATAGTATTAATTCCACTTCACTTAAGGGGCTAAATGTTCAGAGCAAGGAAATGGGAGTTTCCTGTAGGTCTTGCTCATGTTGAAGTCAACAACCAAACCACCCTGGTTTTCAGAGGAGTGGTTTCTTCTAAACCTGCTTTTCTGAGGTTGACTGTGACATGCCCCTGGGTTAGTACAGCAAAATGCAGGATATATGAAAGGCTCTGACTGAGCAAGTTGCCTGGTCCCTTACGTATTTTTAAAGGTCTGCCACATCCTGCCTCAAATTTCATTTTACAGGCTCAACAATCGAAGTGCTTTTAGTGTACTGTCCTAAGGCTAATTTACTGATTTGGTGATCATCCTAACTAGCCCTGCTGTCTCGAACTTCATTTAATCTTTCTTAACACCAGAGTCCTGCCTGCAGGATTTCCTAACACTGTAATAACATGCAGCATTCTGGACAGGGTCTCCTCGGTACTTCACAGACTGGTGGTGTACTGCCTCATCTCTACCAGAGACACTTTGCCCAATAAACCAGAAGATCACATTGGCCTTCTTAGCATTCACTTCATGTGGGTAGCTGAGAGCCACCCTGCAATCAGCACCTGCCCCACATCCAAGAGAATCACACCCAAATCCTAGCAGGACACTTCACCTGGACACAGTGCCGCAGTGTGATGGTATCTCACCGTGGTGCTCTGCAGTGCCATGGACCTGGAACCAGCTAGTTCAGCACCTCCTCATGAATGTCATCCCCACGCTGTGCTAAAGAGCATGAGAGTTGGAGGAAAAAAAGGTACAACAAAACCCAAATGACTGAGTCCAGTGAGACTGTTAACGTAAGCAGAGAAACCGCAGAATCTGACCTATATACACATATATATGAAAGACCAATTCTACAAAACTGTTATGTGAAAATATGTATCCTGCCCCCTTTAATATCTGTTCAGTAATATAATATCTGTATCATTGCCTGTCTGCTACAATAAAGAGGTACAGGGGACCCACTC